ACAAATCAAACCTTTTGATTTCAGTGATCCAAACAAATGAACAACAGTTTCTTTTCCGACCTATGTGTTTATGATTGTTTATGCCCTGCAGTTTTGGACGTCCATCTGGAGAGCCAACAAGGACACGGCCGGCTATCTGAATCTTCTCGACATGCATGGACTAAATTTTTCCAGGGTTCAGGATCGGAATCGAAATGGTGCAAAACTACGCCTGGACACACCGGAATCCTGCAAGGTACCATAGCACAACTAGACTAATTATAATTCCTTTGTATTTCTTTTGTTTGGAAGTCAGGAGTTTTCGTCGTTCTTTTTTCCCTGTGGTCCCGGTGTTGCTGCTTTCCTGTTGGACGGTTTGGTTGTCCAGGACCTGCCCTACACGGAGATTCATGCCAAGTTTCAGAACTGGCGACTCGAACATTGCAGATATGTCAGATATGTGTTGTCAATTTGTTGAACAGAACTTTGTAGAGTCATTTTTCGATATTTTGAGATATTGATTGATTTTCACTTGCTGCCTGTCTCAGGTATGGCCATGCTTTCCATCGTCAGTTCGGCAAGTGCTATCTTCAGCATGATGGAATACAATTTTTGGCCAGAGTATTGAAACCACAGGTGTTCCTCAGTAGCCTTTGCATGTTTTCGAACTTTCAACTACTCTAGCAGTGCAGAACAGGTTGTTTGTTCGTTGTTTCAAACTGAAGCCCTTCAGCATTTCCGAGGTACTTCTACGCCCATCGTGCAGGGCCTTTGGGTGTCTTCGCCCCTCTGGTGATGTTCAGCGTTGGCTTCAAAGTCATCACAATGCACCCCAAAGCAAGGGATGGCAATGGACTTCATTTGAGGACACCGAAACCAAAACCGTCGGGTTGTAGAATGTACATGGCCCATATGAAGACTCTCAAAGTAGTTTCTGACTTCAAAAGCAAAGCGATACATCAATCAGTTCAAGATGTCAACACTACAATGCTCTTCATCCATGTTGCCTGACCCCATCGTCACTGCACACTTTGTGAAGAGAAAGATGTTGCGTCAGATTGGACGGCAACGAGCAGTGAGTTCTTGTGATTCTTGTGCGAGTCTTGTTGCAGACATACAGCACTTTTTTACATGAAGGTACTATGGCACTCTTAGAGACACCAACGCAGCTACGGAGGCAGCGCTGGTAGTGGGCCCCAGCCAGCCTCAACATGAGACAACCCGAAAAAAGGGGACAATGCTAGCCGCTAGCCCTTGGAAACCAAAAACACTGTTGTAAGTCATGTTTTGCATTTGCAGTGTCTTATAGTGGACAGCATGATGAGGGATAGAGAGCTACGTGTTTTCCATGTTTGCTTATGGTTTCTTGATTAGGGTCATACTCTGTACATCTCTGCACATCCTGTGCAAATAGAAGATACAGGATGCAACACTTTATACGGGCCAGCCAAGTGTAGCTTCCAACCGCACTGCCGCACCAAGGCCTACGGTCAATCTGGCTACAAGACCAACCCTGTGCCGAAGTGAGAGCCGATCAATGAAACCAACCTATGACCGAGACCAACCGAAAACGTTCAGTCAAGCAAAGATTTGTTTTGTGACTTTCTTCTCAAATGTTTAAAGGACATGACTTGAAAGAAGATATACATGTATTGCCACGGACAGGCACATGACAAGCTTGCATACATTCCAATTTCACTTGGGAGAAAGGACACTGTTCCTGTGTTGTAGCGGAAGCTGTCCGCAGCTGTCCGCATGCCGATGTCGTCCTTTTTTGTTCCTGGCAAATGGCATCCAGGTTATAAGATTTGAGATCGGAGATCGTCTGAGATCGTTGATTCTGGAGAAAAGTGCATGTTGCTTTGCATTGCCAACATTTGGCAACTCCCTTGATGTTAAAGCATTTGATTCATTTGATGACTGAAATAAAGTTGAATCAGTCCTGAGGAGCCTGTAAGACTTTCCGTCCGTGGCACGTTTTGACTTCGCTTCATCTCGGAATCTTGTGCTCTGTAGCTTCGTGGCCGATTTGCAGTGCTCCACGGTGCGGGGAAAATGCCGTGGACCCAAGATCATGCGAATGCACTCCAAGGGGTTAAGATGGTTAAGGGGAGTGTGGTCGTTTGTCAAATTCATGAGAAAACACGTTTGTGACATTTTGTGACAGACGTTTGCGAGGTCGGCCGGTATGTTTCCCACGCCTGGCCCTGGCCTTCATACTGGGCCTCCCAGGACAGATCAATTCTTCGATTTGAACCATGTAACATGGCCAACATGAAGCACTGGACACAGACCTTAGGGAATGCATGGCACATCGCACTGTCACCAGAACTGTCACCAGATGGGAGAATTTCTGCTGGGAGATGTGGCAGGACTGGCCTGGTCATGTGGCAGGCTCGACAGGAAACGGAGTCACCAGATGTGAACACAGATCTGACATGATCTGACAGTGACACTGTGAAACGAAAACGACGAAAACGGCTCAATGTTTCTGACGCCAGCCTCAACCTGGCATGCGCCTGGTGAAGATGAACCTACAGGGTGAGCAGGTGGAACGGCCGCAGATGGGATTTTGTTCGGCATTAACATGAACTTAATCAGTGGCAACACAAGAATCATGATGATCATTGATTTCTGGTTGGTTGCTGTAATTGGAAGTGAAGTTTGCAAGACCCTTGCACTTGTAGATGCACGTCCACACAGAACATTAGCAATGCGTGTGATGTTTGGTTTGAACGACTTATTGATCAGAGTCACTTTGCTATCAATCTGCCTTTGTACCTTCTCAGGACAGATTTCAGGAATCATCCAATTGATAATATTTGGCTGAATTATCACGACCTTGCTACAACGTCACTGTAAATAGTGGTTGGTGATGTAAGGGGACCGTAAGTCAGCCAGATTTCTTTCTAACTACTACAGGAATGAGTGTGGAAGGCCCAGATTATCAGATTACAATGATTATCTAATTTGTTCTGATCCATGCCCAAAGCTTCTCACATCGCTCTTTAGTCACTACAGGCGCCGTATCCCACCGGAGGGAACAGCAACTTGTGCGCATTGGAGGACATCTCCACGGAAAGAGACATGAAATTGACATGAAAACCATAAGCAGATCACAGCAGATTCACAGATTTGGATTCACAGATACCAACAGTTTTTGGTTTGCCTTTCAGTTTCACTGCAAAAGCTTGTCCGTCGGTCAATTCTTCTGCCTTTGTACTTCCAAGCAGAAATCCAAACAAGTCTTGTGGGATGGGTGGGGTCGAGCAGTGATTGCTATCATTGATTTTGTGCTGAGGGAGTGTCTATAAAACGACCTTGCATTGATGGAACTTGGCACCAGGACACAAAGTCAGCCATCACGAAGGTACTGCTCTTGGCCATGATAGATGACAGATTTGCAGCATGAAACTTTGAAGATAGCACATGTGGAAGGCACCTGCAACCTTTTTTATATACCAATTGATACCAATTGTAGAAATTTTCTCCGCTGGATGTTGTCGTTGTCGCCTCGTTCTCACTTGACGCCGAAATCTGCCGAAGGCTGAGATGGAGGTGTCAAGACAATCACCGTGCCAAGTTCTCGCAGGGTGCGGGCACCAAGATGATCCAAGATGCGGAGCATTGCGGAGCCTTGGGGAATCAGATGATGATTAGCATGATGAACGTATTGAAGGTATCAAGACAGCTACCTGCAACGATACCGGTACCGTTTCACATTGTTTCTTTGGGGAGTCAAGACAACAGGACCAATGGAATATAATGGAATGTAAACTTCAGAATTGAAATGAATTGAACATACTTAAGGTTGAATTGTCTTGCGGTTGCATGCCGGCAGAACTGTAGAGATCGCCAAGTGACAGTTCTGGAAATGACATTTGGGATCATTTGGGCAGACGCAACAGTTCAAAGCCCTAAACTGCGATTGATTAGTTTGGTATTTGTTTTTTCGAGGCCGAAGAGTAGGACCGCACGGCTGGGAGATCAAAGGGTTTTTAAGTGTTCTCGAAAATCGGACAGGAACAAAATTTCAAAAGGAGCACGAATGTCCATCTCACCTTCACATTTCTAATTTGGGAAATGAAGCGTCTCATTTATCATATTTATCACGCTCTACAAAGGCGTTTTTTTGGGTGTCAAGCCGCGGTACTTGTTTCACAGGAGCTGAAGTATTCGCAGAGATCTTCGTCAAGTATCGCACACCACGATGGAAAAAGATGGGCAACAAGATGCAACAAGATGCACATGAGAAATTTATGATCAGATTGTGTACTGAAGTATACCCAAAAAAGGGTGTCTTAAGGGATGTCTTGGGATAGTTACCAGAGTGTAAACAAAGACCAGTCAACTCTGGTATTATGGAGATGAAACAAACCGGTTGCTTCACATATAACGTACACTTAAACAAATGAAGCAAAGTTCTACTGCATGTCCATATCACAACCTCTTGCTGAACGAGCAGCAGGTTTATGTTTATGTCACCGTTGAGTTTGCTATATGTTCCTAAAGTCCAGGCCCCCGGACAACATCAATTCTTCGATTTTGGGCAGCGGATCGAGTATCAAACAATTTCCGAGAGATGCCTGGATTGGCAACCCCAAAAAAAGGCAAAACCATCAAACAACATCGAGTCTGTTCAACTCCTGCATTTATTTGGTCACTGCACTGCTTGCGCTTTTGTTTTGGCTCAGCTTCAATAGTTGGTAGCATGATGGCCCTCCAATTTCAACCTAGGTTCATTGTCATGCTAGATCATGTGGCCCCATGTGTCATGTTTTGGCACTTTCAAGGGAGCATGAATTGGAACATGATAGCAATTGCTGCAATTGTATGCAATTGTGACAGTTTCAAAATTCACTCTAGGGCCTGCTCAAAGTCGGCTCAAGATACTGAAGATTCGGGGTGTCAATGGCTGCAGAAAATGTGAATGACCAGCCTGGGGATACCGTGAAATATGGCGGTGATTGGCATTGCAAGATCACGGCTGGGCCGTTTTCACATGATCTGATGTGGTGCCCATGTCAAGAGTGTCAGGAACTCAAAGAGATTAGTCAGCCAGTCAGCAAGCCCTAATAAAAAGGGGCTAAAAAGGGGGCAGGAACAGGACTAATTACTGTTTTTTTTACACATTTCGTATCATTTCGTATTCGTCAAGATGATTTTCTTCGCACTCAGAGATGAGGCAACAAAATCAGCGTTGAATGGATTCCCTTCACCCTCTGAACTGCACTCCATTGTCCAACAGGACCTGTGTTTGCCTGAAACTAGCCATAATGAGATTTTGTTAATGTCAAAACATGATGAGCGATGAGAACTTTTGAGTTGAGCCTCTTCAATGGTTTTGAGTCATGGTCTTAGATATGATTCCCATTTCTGCAGCAATCCTTCGTGGACATTCTTGTGGCCATTCGCTGCCCCAGTTTCGGCGTGGCGGTGTTCGTTTCGGTGGGGGCAGCTGTTTTATGGGCCAAAATTGGAAAAGAAAACACATCCGAATGTTTACTAAACACTTCCGAATGTTTCCTTTCAATACGAGATACCCTCTGGTAAACTAACAGTTTGCTATTGAAAATGGCCATTTATAGTGGATTTTCCCATAAAAAATGGTGATTTTCCATAGTTTTTTCTATGTTTACCAGAGGGTACCAAGATGATCCAAGATGATCCAAGATGCATTGGCCAGTTCCAGAATGTCCATCACTGAGGTGCCGATGTCTGTCTCGGAAGAAGGCCAGCAGCGTCAAGCCATGCCAGCCATGCAGCCAGCCATGCACATGGTCACAAAATGCCACAAAGCTGATGCCTTTTGGACCTTCCTTTGTTGCGAAAATATCAAATTTCAAAGCTTCGAGATGAATTGGAGAAGGAAACCGCAAGTTGCAGGTGACCCCAAGCTTAGAAGATGGGTTTAGTCCAGTTGGTTTGAACCTCAGATTTTGATGTGCTGTCAATGTCCTGGATTCTTGGACCAGGCGCAAAGCGGCTGTGTCCTTTGCACACCCATATGGAAACGACATTTAATGCCTCTACTTGGACTCTGGAAAACATAGTTTCTAATGATAGTTTTCCAACATAGACATCCAACACTCACCATACAAGCAACGAAAACAAACAAACATATCGCACGTATAAGCATAGCTCTTCAATGTAAACAGGAGGGCAATTCTTGCACAAGTCTAGCACGTGGGTTTTCCAGGGCCTGCTTTGGTACTTTCTTTTTATGGGGCGCAGTGTTCGTGGACTTTCCGACGAATTCAATCGGAACCAATTCCGCTAGTGAAATCCATCATCTCGCGTCATCTTCGCACATCGGCGATATCATAAGGGTTATGTTGGTAGTGTGGTAGTGCGAGTGTTGGTTTTGTGTGCTCTGCATCGTCCGCGCAGAGCACAATATGATATTCTTTACCGCAGCTTGAAACCACACGGTGTGTGATTTTTTTGTTGCTGACGCAGCCTGGACTCCCCTCTGCGTAGGCCAGGGGCGGTGGATTCTTGAATTTGCCACTAAGTCGCTAAGGAATACCTGCCGAACCACAGTGGGATCCTGAGTTCTCAACCATATCAACTATATTGTAGATTTCAATGCGTTGAACGCTCGTTTGGTGCAACAAAACGAGCAAACGAATTGACAAACCAAGTAAAATATCACCCTGGTGACGCAGGACAAGCACCTCAGAAGCACCCCAGGAAGTCAGTTGCCGTTCGCATCGTTTCGCATCGTTTCGCCATTTCCTAATTTCATTTGAGGCCAAGAAGTGCGTTTGAGGCCAAGGTCCCAGAGGAGACCCAAGGGTCCTGAGATGTCCTGAGATGTCCGATATTGTGTGAGAATGTGTGAGATATATTGTGTTGCGCCACAACTGCTGATAGTTTTGGATTCCAGTAAAGCCGTATAGCATACGTATAGCATATGTATAGCATATGAATTCTCCAGTGCCTGGAAATGCCTTGCATTCTGGGTGCTTCGGACAGTGGATGTTTGATTTATATTGATTTATCACATTGACAGGATTGGGTGTTCTGCCCTGTGGATCTTGTGGTCTGCGGTTATTGTCTTAGGAGACCGAACCCTGCCCCGGATGTGGTACTGCTCGAAACCCAGCAGTTCGTCGTGAAAGAAACAAACAGTCACAAAATTCTGGGTCAATAAGCTGCTTGTGGCACAGAATTTTCGAAACTGTTCTGGCAGATTTGGCGCATCGCATTTCAATGCCAAATTCCAGTGTCGGAAAACATCATCGAAGATCAAAGAAGTTCTTGAAAGAAAGGATTTCACCCATTGAAAGGGGCACTGGTTGTGACTTGTATTTACCCTCTGGTAAACTAACATAATTATGGAAAATCAACATTTTAAATGGGAAAACTCACTATAAATGGCAATTTTCAATAGCAAACTGTTAGTTTACCAGAGGGTAACTATATTTAACTTGTTTTGTTCCATTGGTGCAGTGAAACATAGCGAAACATAGCGCCATGTTTGGTCCAGATCTACACGCCAAATGCCAACTATTGCGCACACTGCGGCCGACGGAGGGGAGAGGCTCCCAAGGACACCACAAGTCCAAGCAGGGTCATGTTGAGTCATACATAGTCATACTATGTCATACTATACTAAGACATACTAAGTACAAGTCATCCTATAGGCGACTATTGGTGGTTGGAATTGGAAGAGTAAACTTCCGGTCCTACACCAATCTTGTTAGACAAGCTATGACAAGCTGGACATTGCACGATTAGGAAACTATACGCGATTTAGAAACTACGATTACGAAACTACGATTAGGAAACTATTCCGCGCGATTTAGAAACTACTGCGCGCGATTAAGAAACTACGATTAGGAAACTATTGCGTGCGATTAGGAAACTACGATTAGGAAACTATTCCGCGCGATTAGGAAACTACGCTTAGGAAACTATTCCGCGCGATTGGGAAACTACAATTAGGAAACTATTCCGCGCGATTGGGAAACTACGATTAGGAAACTATTCCGCGCGAATAAGAAACTACGATTAGGAAACTATTGCGTGCGATTAGGAAACTACGATTAGGAAACTATTCCGCGCGATTAGGAAACTACGATTAGGAAACTATTCCGCGCGATTGGGAAACTACGATTAGGAAACTATTCCGCGCGATTGGGAAACTACGATTAGGAAACTATTCCGCGCGATCAGGAAACTACGATTAGGAACCTATTGCGTGCGATTAGGAAACTACGATTAGGAACCTATTGCGTGCGATTAGGAAACTACGATTAGGAAACTATTCCGCGCGATTAGGAAACTACGATTAGGAAACTATTCCGCGCGATTAGGAAACTACGATTAGGAAACTATTCCCCCCCCTAAACCTTTACATGCAAGAGTATTCTCAACTTCACAGTCTCCCCTCTCCAAGACTTCTTGTCACGATTCCAAGTACTTTTTAAAACTTCCCCCCCCTAAACCTTACATGCAAGAGTATTCTCAGCTTCACAGTCATCCCTCCCCAAGACTTCTTGTCACGATTCCAAGTCATTTTTAAAACTCCCCCCCCCTAAACCTTACATGCAAGAGTATTCTCAACTTCACAGTCTCCCCTCTCCAAGACTTCTTGTCACGATTCCAAGTCATTTTTTAAACTTCCCCCCCCTAAACCTTTACATGCAAGAGTAATCTCAACTTCACAGTCACCCCTCCCCAAGACTTCTTGTCACGATACGAAGTCATTTTTAAAACTTCCCCCCCTAAAACCTTACATGCAAAAGTATTCTCAACTTCACAGTCTCCCCTCTCCAAGACTTCTTGTCACGATTCCAAGTCATTTTTAAAACTTCCCCCCCCAAACCTTACATGCAAGAGTATTCTCAACTTCACAGTCTCCCCTCTCCAAGACTTCTTATCACGATTCCAAGTCATTTTTTAAACTTCCCCCCCTAAACCTTTACATGCAAGAGTATTCTCAACTTCACAGTCTCCCCTCTCCAAGACTTCTTGTCACGATTCCAAGTCATTTTTAAAACTCCCCCCCCTAAACCTTACATGCAAGAGTATTCTCAGCTTCACAGTCTCCCCTCTCCAAGACTTCTTGTCACGATTCCAAGTCATTTTTTAAACTTCCCCCCCCTAAACCTTACATGCAAGAGTATTCTCAGCTTCACAGTCATCCCTCCCCAAGACTTCTTGTCACGATTCCAAGTCATTTTTTAAACTTCCCCCCCCTAAACCTTACATGCAAGAGTATTCTCAACTTCACAGTCTCCCCTCTCCAAGACTTCTTGTCACGATTCCAAGTCATTTTTTAAACTTCCCCCCCCTAAACCTTACATGCAAGAGTATTCTCAGCTTCACAGTCATCCCTCCCCAAGACTTCTTGTCACGATTCCAAGTCATTTAGTTTAGTGTAGTGGAGTGTGGTGGAGTGTAGTGGATTGTAGTTGTGTAGTTGTAGTTGCAACCTGTAGTGTTGTGAAGTGTAATGTAATGTAATGTAATGTAGTGTAGTGCAGCGTAGTGTAGTGTAATGTAGTGTAGTCGAGTGAAGCAAAGCAACATCTGAACCGCCAAAAGTGGTCCGAAACCCTAGTGTTTTTAACATTTTAACTTCCAAATATGCTTTCGCGCCACAACGGCGTGCACTTTTTCGAAACTCGACATCTCAGCCTCCAAAAGTGGTCCGAACCCCTGGTGTTTTGTACATTTTGACTTCGAAATGTGCTTCGCGCCACAACGGCGTGCACTTTTTCGAAACTCGACATCTGAACGTCAAAAAGTGGTCCGAGACCGTCAGTTTTTAACACTTTTCACTTGGAAATGTGCTTCGCGCCACAACGGCGTGCACTGTTTCGACATCTCAACTTCCAAAAGTGTTCCGACATTGGTGTGTTTTGTACATTTTGACTTGGAAATGTGCTTCGCGCCACAACGGCGTGCACTTTTTCGACATCGCAACTTCAAAAAGTGGTCCGAGGTTGGTGTGCTTTGTACATTTTGACTTGGAAATGTGCTTCGCGCCACAACGGCGTGCAATTTTTCATTTCTCATCTGGCCAGCTGGCTCCGCACCCGCCGCTTTAGCGAGCCTACTTTTCGACCCTCCAGAGCCACAAATCATTGGAAAAACACAGTGAATCGCGACTTTCCTACCTTTTCGCTCATCTGCATCTTCTTTCTTCTGATCTTTTCTCTTCTGACTCTTCTCACCTCTGCTTTTCAACTGTCCATATTGTCGGAAGTTTCACTTCTAAACTTCCTTCGATTATAGTTTCCAAATCACGTGCCTTAGTTTCCAAATCATAGTTTCCAAATCCGCGGTTCCTAGTTTCCAAATCACACCTCATAGTTTCCAAATCATAGTTTCCAAATCCGCTGTTATAGTTTCCAAATCACGTGCCTTAGTTTCTAAGTCATAGTTTCCAAATCCGCGGTTCCCAGTTTCCAAATCACACCTCATAGTTTCCAAATCATAGTTTCCAAATCATAGTTTCCAAATCCGCTGTTCCCAGTTTCCAAATCCGCTGTTATAGTTTCCAAATCATAGTTTCCAAATCATAGTTTCCAAATCCGCTGTTATAGTTTCCAAATCCGCTGTTTTAGTTTCCAAATCACGCGGTGACCATGACAAGCTACTTGAAATATCTACCAGGTCCGCATTTTCTGCCCTGAGATTTTTCCAACCAGGAGTCTTCTCCGAGTCCGGTCTCAGAGGCCTCTCCGAGAGAGACATGCGTCATGTCGTTGAAAAGATCAGGTTTCAATGGTTCGAAATGACATGAAATGACCACAGGCTTCACGAGGCTTCACGAGGCTTCACGAGGCTTCATGGGACAGGAAGACCACCTTTCGGGCTCGAGGATCTCCCACAATTCTGACAGGTCAAGCAGAGTGCATCTCCTTTGCCAACGAGCTCGCCAGCGCGCGAGAATTTGCCAGCCAAGGCTCGATGCCAAGCAGACAGCACCGTCAATACCGTCAAAAACAGAACCATGGTTTTCCATAGGAAAAATGAGCTGTAGCATGCTGTAGCTTGGATTTTGTTCATTTTGTTCAACTTCAAGATTTTGCGGCTGCAATGCAACTGAAGGGGACTGCAGTAGTACCTTTTCCTTTTGCCCCCAGCTAAATCATGCTAGATCCAAGAGAACCTACAAACATCTTTGAAATCTAAGAAAATCTGGAAGAGACACTTGAACATTTGGTAATTTGGCAATCTTTAAATCGATCTTTCGGGGTGATCCAGCAGGCTCTCTCACTTATTTGATTGCGCTGTATTTTCCTAGCTGACCCAGACTGTTTGTCTGAATACATATGATATATATATATATATAATTATAATTATTATATATATATATACATTAATATGTCTAAGGCATTCCCGTCCCAAAGAATGCCTCAAATGAAGACCGTATGTAAACCTCAGCCAGGGAAGTAGGGAAAACTTTGATGTTCCTAAAATAGATTAGGACATATCTGGGCGGCTTACTATGCTTTAGAGTTCTGTAAGAAACCCAAACTTGAAGAATGTATGGAATTGAATCAGTTACGGAAGGTTTTCTATGAACTTTGGCTTGCATGCTCGATCACAAAGCTCAGTACTGTGGAGGAAAACCAAGCAGTAAAGAGCCCTTGCCAGCTGGGCTAAGCGTTTCATCCTGATGGGACTCACATTTCAGAGACTTGTTCCTCTGATATTTCGGCATAGTGCTGGTGTACTATGCCAAGGTCGTTGATGTGTTTGGATCTGTGTCCTCTTGGATGTGAAGCTTTTGCCTCACTGGTTTTTCATGGTTGCTCCACCAGGCTTTGCGTTCAGGATTCTCATGACCCGCCATGAAGTACTTATGAGTCGTGCCAGCTTTCCGAAAGCCTCCCAGGCGCCAGCGCCTGCAGCCGCACCTGCGCCGGCGGACAATGAATCCACCTCGAGACAGGCTGAAAACCCAAGTCCTCACATATCGAATCCTTACTCAGAGTTGCTGTGTGAGATATATTACATATGGTTTGATCATGTTTGATCACTTAATCGACTTTGCAACTCTGTGACGACTAACTCACAGGCCACATTGCCAACAGCGAAGGCATGCCCGTCACAGAGAGCGCTTCCAAACTGCAAGGAATCATCATGTTGATGCACTCTCCTCACAGGAAACCACACGTTTGTAGTGCAGCTTGATGGGTGTGAACTCTACTGCAGCCTTTGTAATACATCGTAATGCAGTTGGATTTCATCACGTTCCAAGTGCACAGCTGCAGCTGCTAGTCGTTTTCTTGTTGCGAGTCATGTGGCCACTCCATGGTGCGTGGCATCGCGTGGCACAGGCGGAGGCAGCGATCTCCACGCCCAAGCCGAGCACGCCAAGTGTGCCCAGTGAGCCGAGTGCAATTCCGGCTGGCAAAGAAGGCGAAGATGAAACTGTTCCTGGCTGATCAGATTACTGTGTAACTCTATGTTTGGTTGATGGTTTTTTTAGTAATTTAAATATATAATATAATGTATAATATAATATAGTATAATATAATATATAATATAATATATAATAATATATAATTATAGACAAACACTGCACGGTTCATCATTCCGTTCAGCCGTTCAGTTGGACGGCGGTGTATTATGTGTGTTGGTTTGATCCCCGCCGCATCCGCCAGGCAACTATGTGGTGGAGCTACGAAGGGAAAAGCCGACCGACAGGTTGGGGTCGAAGTAGATCAACCACTATCGATTGGAAATGATGAAACGCAATGGACAAGTCCAAGTTAATCGAAGGAAGTTTAGAAGTCAAACTTCCGACAATATGGAGAGATGAAAAGCAGAGCAGGGAAGAGGCAGAGAGAAGAGAAAGATTAGAAGAAAGAAGAGTAGAAGAGAAAGAGTAAGAAGACAGAAGATGCAGATGCGCGAAAAGGTAGGAAAGTCGCGAAACACTGTGTTTTTCCAATGATTTGTGGCTCCGGAGGGTCGAAAAGTAGGCTCGCTAAAGCGGCGGGTGCGGAGCCAGCTGGCCAGAGGAGAGATGAAAAAGTGCACGCCGTTGTGGCGCGAAGCACGTTTGGAAGTCAAAATGTACAAAACACCAGGGGTTCGGACCACTTTTGGAAGTTGCGATGTCGAAAAAGTGCACGCCGTTGTGGCGCGAAGCACATTTCGAAGTCAAAATGTACAAAACACACCAGCGTCGGACCACTTTTGGAAGTTGAGATGTCGAAAAAGTGCACGCCGTTGTGGCGCGAAGCACATTTCCAAGTCAAAAGTGTTAAAAACTGACGGTCTCGGACCACTTTTGGAGGCTCAGATGTCGAAAAAGTGTCGAAAAAGTGCACGCCGTTGTGGCGCGAAGCACATTTCGAAGTCAAAAGTGTAAAAAACTGAGGGTTTTGAGCCTTTTTTGACGTGAAGATGTCGAAAAAGTAGACACTGCTTAACTTAACTAACTCGACTAACTTAACTACCCTAACTTCGACGACAACAGCAACAGCAACAACAACAACAACACCAACCAACAACAACACAACAAACACACCAACACAAAAACTACAACTTACAAACCAACTACAACACAAACAAACTACACAAAACACACTCAAACTAGAACTACAACTACAACAACTACAACAACAACAACAACAGCAACAACAACAACAACAGCAACAACAACAACTACAACAACTACAACTACAACTACAACTACACAACAACTACAGCTAGAACTACAACTACAACAACTACAGCTACAACAACAACTACTACTACTACTACTACTACAGGAACAGCAACAACAACTACAACTACAACAACAACTACTACTACTACACTACACAACAACTACAACCACACAACAACTACAGCTACAACAACACAACTACAATCAACTACAACTACAACTACACAAACTACAACTACAACTACAAAACAACTACAGTTTACAACTATATAACTGCAACTACAATACACTAATTACCTTACACCACAACTACAACTCCACTACGCTACACTAACACCTACAGTTTGGCAAGTACATCACCTCCATCCAGCAGTTGTGGGTGAGGTGACCACTGCAACCATTGCAACCATTCCAGCAAACACAACTCCAACCACCTTTCGGTCAATCAGTGGATTCGCTCTGCCATCCGTGATTCACAACAATCAATCTCTCCTATAGGTTTCCTATTTTTGAAACTTCCGCCACCGCCTTGTGCGGTACTACTGGTACAAGTTACTGGCAGAAAGACAACGCCAGTGAAAATCAATCCCGAAAACACGACCAGTGGAGGTTGAGAGAATAGAGATGTGTAAAGATGTGGGAGATCAGAGGAGTAGGTCCAGGATGGTCCAGAAGAGCAGAAAAATGAACGAAAAATTCTCCGAGACAGCTGTCTGTGAAATCTAGTCCAGAGTCAGCGCATACAGTTCATACAGTTCCACCTCAGACTCAGCCAGACGTTCATGTTTATGGAATGAATGTACAGGGTTGAATAAAAGCAAGACATTGTGACTGCCAAGAGGCCAAGAGGTGGCAGGAATGGAACAAAGATATACAAAGATCACGTGGAGCAAGAAGAGTTGGCAGAGCTAAAATTGTTGTAGTATGTTGTAGTCATTGGAACAAATCCTGGTGCTTTGATTTTTGTTGATTTTGATAGCTCTCATCGAAGGATTTGCCCAATGATCTTGGTGCTTGCCTTTTTTTCCCTCGAAGCCGAACGGCACAGGTATGGTTTCGCATGGGACGCGCAGGCCCCAGAATACTGGACCAATCACTATCCAGACTGGCAGGAAACTGATGTGGCTACACCTCAGAAATTCACAGAAACGTCGAAAACGGTGGTACTCAAGGGAAAAATGACCCATTCTCATGATTTGTTTATGTTTGTTTGGGGGTCCCATGGGGTCCCCAGTTTTGAGAACCTCCCAACTGGATTCGAAATCCCAGAAAATTCGTCATCCACAGTCTGCCACAGCTGAATCGCCGCTGTTCGAGGCGAATTCCTTGGAAAAGCAGAATCTTCGAGTGATCAACAAGGTATCGAGCCGGTTTTGTGTGTATGGTTGGTTGGTTTGAGCTTCACTAAGTTCAGTGAAACAACATGACCGTGGCTACAAGCCATAGGATAGGGCATCATAGATATCCATAGGGCCATGGCAATGCCATGCAATGCCATTGGAACCGCCAGATTCTTCCTGGGACCCTGGCTGCAGTGTGGAATGCCTCGGCTCCACCAGGCGCAGATCTGGACGTTTGAAAATCTGTGAAATAAGTCAAAGAGCACTGTTTGATGCCAATCCCCAGGCTGCGACATTCGCAGTGGCGATATGCTTGTGAAGGTGGAGTTTGGTGGAGTTTCACTGAGTTTCACTGTTCCGCACAGCTTCGTTTAATTGTCGAAAGTCAGATGGCAGCCTGGCAGATGCCATAGGTCAATGGCCGAGAAGGGCGACTGGAGCTCATGACCGTGGAGCTCAGCAAGCAGACAGCCCAGATTGGGAGATGAAGGCAGAACATTTCAACTTGGGCTGAGACAGTCGCAAAAAGAACAATCTTAGAATGATTCAAATATATTCAAATATGACGTGCATATATACCACTAGTACCGCACAAGGCGGTGGCGGAAGATTCAAAAATAGGAAACCTATAGGAGAGGTTGGTTGTTGTGAATCAGAGATGGCAGAGCGAAGCCACTGATGGACCGAAAGGTGCTTGAGGTCTCCTCTCTTTCTCTCTCTTTCTCTGACTATCTACTTACCTACCAGCCTATCTTCTATGTATCTATCTATCTATCGATCTATCTATCTCTCCCTTTCTCTCTTTCATCTCATTACCTATCTACCTATCTACCTATCTACCTATCTAATCTATCTATCTGTCTATCTATCTGTCTATCTATCGATCTATCTATCTATCTATCAATCTATCTCTCTATCTATCTATCTGTCTGTCTGTCTATCTATCTATCTATGTATCTATCTATCTCTCCATGTATCTATCTATCTGTTTGTCTGTCTGTCTGTCTACCTGTCTATCTATCGTGCAGTGTCATCCAGTCTAATGTAGTGTAGTGTACTGTAGTGTAGTGGAGTGGAGTTTAGTTGTAGTTGTAGTTGTAGTGTAGTTGAGTATAGTGTAGTGTAATGTAGTGAAATGTAGTGGAAGGTAGTGTAGTGTAGTAGTGTAGTGTAGTAGTGTAGTGTAATGTAGTGTAGTGTAGTGTCATGTACTGTAGTGTAGTGTAATTTAGTGCCGTGGAGTGTAGTGGAATGTAGTTGGGTAGTTGTAGTGTAGTGTCGTGGGATGTAGTGTAGTGTAATGTTGTGTCGTGGTGTGTAGTGGAGTGTAGTGGAGTGTAGTTGTGTAGGTGTAGTTGTAGTGTTGTGGAGTGTAGTGTAGTGTAATGTAGTGAAGTGTAGTGGGAGTAGTGTAGTGTAATGTAGTGTAGTGAAGTGGAGTGTAGTGTAGTGTAATGTAATGTAGTGTAGTGTAATTGAGTGTAATTGAGTGCAGTGTAATGTAGTGTAGTGGAGTGTAGTTGTGTAGTTGCAGTTGTAGTGTAGTGGAGTGTAGTGTAATGTAGTGAAGTGTAGTGGAAGGTAGTGTAGTGTGTTTTTTTCCTAGCAGCAACGGGCGAAATCTTCGGCCGGGCTTGCAATGAAGTACAAATGCTCGAGTGCATCATATCTATCTATCTCTCTATCTCTCTGTCTATCTATCTATCTCTCTATGTATCTATCTATCTCTCCATGTATCGATCTATGTATCGATCTATGTATCTATCGATGTATCTATCTATCTGTCTGTCTGTCTGTCTGTCTATCGATCTGTCTGTCTTTCTGTCTGTCTATCTGTCTAGCCATCTATCTATCTATCTCATCTACCCAGCTGGCCTCTCTCTCTCTCTCTCTTTCATCTAATTACCTATCTATCTATCTATCTATCTACCTGTCTATCTATCTCTCCCTTTCATCTGTCTATCTGTCTAGCTGTCTACCTGTCTATCTGTGTTGCAGTGTCATTCAATGTAATGTAGTGTTGTGTAGTGCAATTTAATGTAGCGGAGTGTACTGGAGTGTAATGTAGTGTACTGGAGTGTAGTGTAGTGTAGTGTAAGTTCCTGTAGTGTAGTGTATTGAAGCGAAGCGACATCCGAACCTCCAAAAGTGGTCCGAACCCCTGGTGCTTTTAACATTTTGACTTCGAAATGTCCTTTGCGCCACAACGGCGTGCACTTTTTCGACATCCGAACCTCCAAAAGTGGCGCGAACATGTGGTGTTTTGTACATTTTGACTTGGAAATGTGCTTCGCGCCAAAACGGCGTGCACTTTTTCGACATCTGAACTTCCAAAAGTGGTCCAAACCTGGTGTGTTTTGTACATTTTGACTTGGAAATGTGCTTCGCGCCACAACGGCGTGCACTTTGTCGACATCTGAACTTCCAAAGGTGGTCCGACAATGGTGTGTTTTGTACATTTTGACTTGGAAATGTGCTTCGCGCCACAACGGCGTGCACTTTTTCGACATCGCAACTTCCAAAAGTGGTCCGACAATGGTGTGCTTTGTACATTTTGATTTGGAAATGTGCTTCGCGCGAGCTGAGGTGTTTTTCTACATTTTGACTTGCAAATGTGCTTCGCGCCACAACGGCGTGCACTTTTTTGACATCTCAACTTCGAAAAGTGGTCCGACACTGATGTGTTTTGTACATTTTGACTTGGAAATCTGCTTCGCGCCACAACGGTGTGCAATTTTTGATCACTCACCTGGCCAGCTGGCTCCGCACCCGCCGCTTTAGCGAGCCTACTTTTCGACCCTCCGGAGCCACAAATCATTGGAAAAACACAGTGTTTCGCGGCTTTCCTACCTTTTCGCGCATCTCCATCTTCTTTCCTTCTGATCTTTCTCTTCTCTCTGCCTCTTCCCTGCTCTGCTTTTCATCTGTCCATATTGTCGGAAGTTTGACTTCTAAACTTCCTTCGATCATATATGTTCTACAAACTATATTGAAGTGTATATAGTAATACAGTAATTGTTATAAGATTTAGAATGATAATGATATGATGTGCTTTTGCCCTTCGTCGAGTATGCTCCAAGGCAGCATGTTGTGTGCGAGTTCCAGCCAAAAGAAGCAAGGGTGTTTGGAGGCACGATGCCACAATTTCAAACTGGTACGGAATGTGACCGACATTTGTTTTATGTGCCTCATTTCTCATCCAGGCGCAGTCAAGGATGTTTGCCTCTCAGGAAAAGGGTCCTCACATCTCTGGGTTGAAGTGCTGACTTCAAAACTGAATACAAACAAGCCTCCATGAGAATTTGTATGGAATTTGCACCATCTTGAGAGTTTGGTGCCACATTTTCTTCGTCCAAGAACTACGCATCTCTGGTGCTTGCAAGGTAGCACTGCCGGAAGCAAGCTCTGCAGTGACTCCATTTGTGCCAAAGGTGCTGCGGCAATGTGGTGCTTACTCGTTTTGAGGATCATCTGAGAACTTTCAAGCTGAAAACTGCAGTTTGAACATGTAAATTTGAGAGTGTACTTTTTGACTTTCTGCATTTTTTGCCGAGAAATCTAGAGCAGTGTGTGGTTCACAGACAGCTGCAAGACTACCATCATGAACAGCAAGAGGTATCTTAACATGTCAATTCCATTCAATTCCCGATACTTGTCCAGTGGCAGTGCACGAGATTGACGCATAGCCGCACAGCGAGAAATTATAAAATCATAAATGTTTCCACGATGCGTTTGTTGCAAGCATATGCAAGCAAATGTGTTGAAGTCAGAGTTGCATATCTGAATTTGGATCCAGGTGCCACCTGCAAAGTCAGCGATGGAGCAGCCTCAGGCGGAAAACAAGAGATGTTAAGTATGGGCCAGAAAATCAGGAATTCTTGGTCTGGTGAACCGGGGTGTTCATATGCTGATGAGGGACGAGGGGACAACGGCATCCAAAGAGCATCCAAGAAGTTTAACATCTCGAGGTCTCGAGAGTTTATTGCCACAATCTGCCACAGTTCTTCGTCCAATGTTGGAACTACGCATCTCTGGTGCTTGCAAGGTAGCACTGCCGGAAGCAAGCTCTGCAGTGACTCCATTTGTGCCAAAGGTGCTGCAATGTGGTGCTTACTTGTTTTGAGGATCTTCTGAGAACTTTCTAGCTGAAAACTGCAGTTTGAACATGTAAATTTGAATGTACGGTTTGACTTTTTGGTACTTTTTGCATTTTTCCCGGGAAATCTAGAGTAGTGTGTGGTTCGCAGACGGTTGCAAGACTACCATCATGAGCAACAAGGGGTATCTCAACATGTCAATTCCATTCAATTCCCAATACTTGTCCAGTGGCAGTGCGCCAGATTGACGGATAGCCGCACAGCCAGAAATCATGAATCATAAATGCTTCCACGATGCGTTTGTTGCAAGCATATGCAAGCAAAGGTGTTGAAGTCAGAGTTGCATATCTGAATTTGGATCCAGGTGCCACCTGCAAAGTCAGCGATGGAGCAGCCACAGGCGGAAAACAAGAGATGTTAAGTATGGGCCAGAAAATCAGGAATTCTTGGTCTGGTGAACCGGGGTGTTCATATGCTGATGAGGGACGAGGGGACAACGGCATCCAAAGAGCATCCAAGAAGTTTAACATCTCGAGGTCTCGAGAATTGCCACAATCTGCCACAGTTCTTCGTCCAATGTTGGAACTACGCATCTCTGGTGCTTGCAAGGTAGCACTGCCGGAAGCAAGCTCTGCAGTGACTCCATCAGTGCCAAAGGTGCTGCTGCAATGTGGTGCTTACTTGTTTTCAGGATCTGAGAATTGTCTAGCTGATAACTGCAGTTTGAACATGTAAATTTGAGAGAGTACTTTTTGCATTTTTTCTGGGAAATCTAGAGCAGTGTGTGGTTCGCAGACAGTTGCAAGACTACCATCATGAGCAACAAGAGGTATCTCAACATGTCAATTCCATTCAATTCCCAATACTTGTCCGTGGCAGTGCGCCAGATTGACGGATAGCCGCGCAGCCAGAAATCATAAATCATAAATGCTTCCACAATGCGTTTGTTGCAAGCATATCACGAAAGGTAGCGTCAGCTACCTGAGTTCTCCGTGCTTCAGCACAAGCTTAGGGGGTATTGGGGGGCCAGCCCGTGCAATTCATGGAATTCTCGCCGTTATGTATTGGATATCAATTGTAAGGGGGGGGGGGGGCCCCTAAGTCAGTTAGACGTGCCGTTTGGTATCTTCTTGTCCGTGCACGTTTTTGGTTGAGAAAAGTAAGAAAAAAAGAAAAACGAGAAAAACGAGAAAAGTCAAAAAGTCAAAAAGTAGAAAAACAATGGTTTTTGCAATCTTCACATTTTTTGCCTTCGTTTTTCGCAAGAAAAATAGAAAA